ACACTACCCTTCAGCACCTTTTGTGTTGTATATGGAATAAATCTACCTGCAATCTCCTCTCCCCATTAGATAACAAACATCAGAAGCAGCCTTGGGGGAAGGGCAGGGTCTGTCACTTATTTTGCCCTGGTATAGGCTTCATAAATGAGAACGGCCCTAATTCAACACATGATCATTTATTGAGCCCTTTATAGGCTAGGCATGATGTTAAACATGAAAAATGTAGTAGAGCCTGCCTTCCGGGCGTGACAGGAAAGGACACGCCCAAAGCAGCTTCAAGATAGATAGCTGTCCCCTGTTTGGCACCAGCAGGAAGGGTGTTCAACCTTGTAGTGGTGGGGGAGCTTTTGATAAAGGTGGCATCTAAGCTGAATCCCAAAGGTACCCAGGATCTGAAATTGTTCAGCATCATTGGAGAGTATAGAACTGAGAAGTGACAGGAGAATTGACCAGGGACAATACACATCTGAAATTGCAGGGTCCCAAAGAGCCTGGAACAAGACACAATGTACCAATGACACCCAAGCTGCGCATACTGACACAATTTGAGGTTAGAGGGAATTCTGGGTGAAATAGTCTGAAATGTCATATGCATGGTCTTTCCCTCAGACACTCATAAGACACATTAGCATTTTAAGGCCTACAATAAAGCAATGGATTTAACAACGTAAATATAGCTCAAACTTATTTCACCTTGAAACTCTTCCTCCTTTTGTAGCATCCATTAAAGCCTCAAGGAACACTTTGGTAAAGCTGGATATCCTGAAGCACACAGAAGGCATCTTGGGGTTGTGCCCACCATCCCCTAAGGCACACTCCTGCTCTAGGGAACTGTAAGCATCTCCAGCTAGACAGAGGGCTAGTGGCATAGACCTCATTGTTGCGAGTCACACAGCCCCCCCCCCTGCCCACTCGGATCTAAAATACTTGTCAAAGTGCATGGTCATGGCAGGCTATGATTTACTTCTCCAAAAAAGCAACTGAAGTGAGCCCTCAATCCCAGATCAGCAGAGCTGTTAGGCCACATGAGCTCTGTAAGAACTCCTGTGCCTTGTCCCCTGGGGGTTGTTGATCTTACTGATTCTCAAGAGAGGGTACAGACATTGCTGCAGGGTATGAAGCTTTGGTTCACTTGCCCACTGGTTGACACAGGGCCATTCAGATGGGCTGCCTCAGGCACATAAGATAATAACCACTTTGGAAGCCAAGAGGATTCAGATGAGTCTATATAGACCCACAGACAGATGTCCCCCCTGCAAGGGGATCAGCCAGGTTGTGAAAATGTTGTCTGGGTTAGTCCACCATGGGGCACCCAACTAAAGAGCAAGTACAGGGTAGCCACACATTCCCCCCACACACACAAGGAACATCCACCACAAATTTATATCAAACCTTCGTAAACCTACCTGAGTATTCCTGCTGTACAGCTTCTCAGGATAAGTTTTGTGTTGCAGCCTCTACTTAGTCATAGCACATCTCTTCTCAAGGGCTGCCCCTGATTTTGGGTATAAGGAGTGTTAATAAAGGACCAAGGGTGTTCTGAGCAAACCCTTTCTTTTATAATGTGGACTATCATGCCTGTGAGTTCATCTTTCCAGGCCAAAAACATCCTCCTACTGACAGTATTTATCTGTTATTCATTTATTCCACAAAGAGTTTTTTTTCCCCCAAATCCAACATCAGTTATATTTGTTTATTAAAAACTACAATCTGAAATTTGTAATACTGACAAAACACTTTATAAACCTGTAAACTACAAATAACTGGGAAGAAATACCTTGTTTGTAGGTTAAAAGAGTCAAGATGTCAGCTCACATCAGAACAGATCTGAGGACCCAGAAATACACCTGCTCATACATAATTTTTTTAAAAAAAAATGCAAAGGTAATAGAGCAGAGAAAGAATAGCCTTTTCAACAAATGGCACTGTTACAATTGGATCTCTATGCCCAGGGGAGAAAAACAAAAGTGAACTTGGAAGCATAAATTAAAATTGATTATAGACTTAAGTGTAAAACCGAAAAACTCTTGGGAAAAAAAAGGAAATAAATCATGACCTTAGATGGGAAAGAGTTCATAGACATAATACAAACAGATTAGATTTCACAATTAAAAAAGGTCTGCTCTTGCCAGGTGCAGGGGTGCACACTTGTAATCCAACCACTCAGGAAGATGTGGCTCGGTGCCTGACTGGATTGCACAAGGCCTTAGATTCAATCCTGAGCACTAGGGGGTGGGGGAGAACAGAATGAGCACCCTCTCATTTCACATGACAAGAACAGTGACCCCAAATCTGTGTCTGGTGACCATTCAGTGTTCCACCCTCAGCACAAATAGTTATTGAGGGTGCCCTAGACACCAGACACTTTGAAAAGCTGGGAATCGTGAACATAAGAGATAATCCTTGTTCTCTTAAAGCAGATAATAAGCAACTTCTAAGTGTGAAAAAGTTCTGTTCTAAACCCTACGAGCTTTCTGAGGGGGGTGAGAGATGGATTAAACAACTGGTATCTTGTTCAGGAACTGTTGCTTATAAGGAATAAAACCTGATTAAAGTAGTTCAAGTTAAAAAGGGAGGAGAGAGTTCTGACAGAATTAAGGAGCAGGAACCAAAGTAATTATCTCCAAAAGTTCTCTCTCCTCTTGGAGACATTCATATTGAAATCCTCTTTTCTTACCTCCATCCTCCCTTACTCACTGCTCCCCTCCTGCCCTAAAAAGGGATGTGAGTAGGAAGGAAATTAATGCATCTCTACCACAAATGGTTACAAGACAGAGTAAGGAGGACAGGAGGGTACAAGCAGAGAGTGCTGTTCCAGTTGGGAGGCAGAAAGATAACTTAAAGCTCAGGGAAGGCTTTCTGGAGGAGAAGGTGCTATTTGAGCTGGGCCCTGGTGTGGGGAGAATTTGACACCCCTGGAGAACAGAGATTAGCATATGCAGAGCCATGGAAGAATGGGTGGAAGGGGCAAGTGTCTGTACTTGCCACCACCCCCTCTGTCATTACCTGGGTCTCTTTGGAGCAGACAGGATTCTCGGAATTCTAGGATTTGGATCTGTAGTCTAGATAATAGGGGAACAAGAGAAGAGCAAGCAGAAAGGGGTTGACTGGTAAGGGAGGAAATGGGAGAAATGCTGCCCCACAGAGGTTAGAAAGCCACATACTGGGACCCAGGTAAGTAGCTTGAAGATTTAACCAGGTGGCAAGAGGTAATACCTTAATACCCACCTCTGACTTCAGTGTAAAGTCATCCAGTGTCGGACGCTTAAACCAAGTAGTCAGACTACAGGCACAAGACTTCAGTCTGCCAATTATTTAAAATTTGCCAACTGATCACTAGCAGTAAGCAATGAATGTTTATTGGGTTCCTCTGTGCTGGGCACTATAAAATGATCATCTTGTTAGTCATACCTGAAAACCTACAGAGCAGTACCATCAGGGGTCAGAAAGCTCACGGAGGTGGTGAGTCTCATACTGTCTGCATCTAGGGACCTTAACAGGGTGGGCAAAGATTCATGTGAGCATCTGCAGTGGGTCAGTGCTTTTACCTTGGTCACCTCATGTCCACTTCATACCCAAGTCTGAAAAGTACAGGTTTTCATGTTTTCTAGGGAGGAAGCCAAGATACATATCTGAGGTTATAGGACTAGGTGTTAAACCTAGGACTTAAACCAAAGTTTATGTCCCCGGCACACCAGGGTCATAGGGCAAGTCCTCAAGGCAGAATGGGTTGGTCCGGGGCTGTGTACAGGGCACAAGGTGTTCCAGATTGGGATGATGGAAAAGCTGTCCTCTCCTGTATGTGGGGCCTCGTTGCTACTTTTCCATCTGCAATCCCTCTGGTCCTCAACTGAGCAATTCACATTAAAATAAACACAACCTATTGGGCTGGGGTTGTGGCTCGGTGGCAGAGCACTTGCCTGCCGTGTGTGAGGCACTGGGTTTAACTCTCAGCACCATGTATCAATAAATAAAATAAAGGTTCACTGACAACTAAAAAAATATTAAAAAGACAACCTATTGCTTCCCTCACCTCCGGATGTGGCATGGGTCAAAACATATACTAGAGTCTAAATGCCACATGCACTGAAAGTTAGAAATCATAGGCCTTCCCGATAACCAGATGATGGCCAGGGGAAAACCCTGTAATTTTCAGCTTATACATACTCAGAGCCAGAATCTCAAACCTACTGTCTATTCTCTTCATGCAGCATGGATCTATGGTTTCTTACAGGCAATTTACCTGTTACGTGATGTTTTCCAATTTCAGAGGGTAATAATAATGTATGTCTCAATAATCTTACACAAGTGAAGTAGCATTGAACTTCCCTTATGCACTTCACACAATGCCCAAGTATTGGGTACTATTGTTAGATCAAGTGTATATTCAAGGATCTTTGTTCTACTGTAAACTCCCCAAGGAAAGGAGGGCTTCTGGAGGAGATGAACTTTTACTTGTCACAAACAAGCATGGGTAGGATTCAGATCTACAGCTGTCAGTGGCAGCCCTAGCTGCAGTCATACCTAGAGACTCACTTGAACTTTCTGGCTCTAGAGTGTGGTTTAGATAGGCAATGCTCAAATTTTTGTGCATCAGAATCTCTAGGGAACTGCTGCTTTTAGATTCAAGAGCTTCCCCTTTGAAAATTCTAATGGAAGTCATAAGAGGAAAGTGATTTTTTTTTAAAAGCTTACCAGATAATTCTGAATTGCAGGTAAAAACAGGCTAAATGCGGACCAAGGTCAAAAGCTAGGACAATCTGCTGGGAGGATACTATTTGGGGTCTCCAGATTCCCAGAAAATGGGGGGACATCAAGGATGGAATTTCTTCCTTCTGAAGATGTCAGTGGGTGCCAACTCCCTGTTCTAGAGAAAAGGAAAGTGATATCAGCTAGGAGAACAGTCCCAGAGGCCTGTGATATAGACAGAGTCGTGACAGAATGGCCAACCTTGGCTGCTGGAGCCTGTTAACACAGCATGTCATTCTGTCTCTTTCCAGATCGTGTTCCGGAAGATTAGCGACGTGAAACGGGAAGAAGAAGAGCGCATGAAACGGAAGAATGAAGCCCCCCTGATTCTGCCCCCTGACCATCCTGTCCGGCGACTCTTCCAGAGGTTCCGACAGCAGAAAGAGGCCAGGCTGGCGGCGGAGAGAGGGGGCCGCGACCTGGATGACCTGGACGTGGAGAAGGGCAACACCCTCACGGAGCATGGCTCAGCCAACCACTGCCTGGTGAAGGCCAGCGTGGTCACGGTCCGAGAGAGCCCCGCCACACCCGTGTCCTTCCAGGCGGCCTCCACCTCCGTGGTGTCAGACCACGCCAAGCTGCATGCCCCGGGGTCCGAGTGCCTGGGCCCCAAGGGGGGTGGCGGCGACTGTGCCAAGCGTAAAGGCTGGGCCCGTTTCAAAGATGCTTGTGGGAAGGGCGAGGACTGGAACAAGGTGTCCAAGGCCGAGTCGATGGAGACGCTCCCCGAGAGGTCAAAGGCGTCAGGCGAGGCCACCCTGAAGAAGACAGACTCATGTGACAGCGGCATCACCAAGAGCGACTTGCGCCTGGACAACGCGGGCGAGGCCAGGAGTCCCCAGGACCGGAGCCCCATCCTGGCAGAGGTCAAGCATTCTTTCTACCCCATCCCCGAGCAGACGCTGCAGGCCACTGTTCTGGAGGTGAAGCATGAGCTAAAGGAGGACATCAAGGCCTTGAACGCCAAAATGACCAATATCGAGAAACAGCTCTCGGAGATACTCAGGATATTAACTTCCAGAAGATCCTCTCAGTCGCCTCAGGAGCTGTTTGAAATATCGAGGCCTCAGTCCCCAGATTCAGAGAGAGACCTTTTTGGGGCCAGCTGAGAGGTTTGTTTAAAAAGGTCAAAAAAGAAAAAAATATCCGCACCCCTGCCCTAGACAACACCCCACCACACATGACCAACAATTTTCAAAGTGGGACCAGTGGCTCAGGTGGGGTCATGCTCTTTTCAGGAAAAAAAAAGAAGCATCTCGTGCCCCACCCTGCAAGATGGCAGCCACATCTGAACAGTCTTTGCACAATTCTGGAAGCAGGGTGTGCTGTCTAAAGGGTATTTAAAATTTTTTACTACCGTGATATTTATAAAAGGTTACAATTACCAGAAAAGAAGAACCAGCCATTTAGGTATTGACGGGAGAGTACAGAGAACCCCTCATGTATATACCAGGCAGAGCTCCTTCACTGACACCCCCAAAGACCAAGGTATGGGCAGGGACTTCCCAGCGTTCCCCAACCTTGTACAGCCTGTCTTACGTCACCATCTATTTTCCTGTTGTCATCATTTGGGACAAGGGGAGCTGGGAGTACAGAGCCTTTCAAACATCTCTGCTGAAGGCTGAACAGTAGGTACAGGTAGGGCCCTTTGGCCTCCAAGGACTCTATTGTCCGAGTCATAGCTTGCTCCCATGGGACCGTTGACAGGGAGGCTGCGGGTGGCCCTCTGGCCCTGCTCCATGCCGCAGGCCTCACTGCACAGACTACTCCTTCCTGACCTCTTCCCGAGTATTCCCATGGCATTCCTCAGGGTATGGAGCATCGGCAGGATGGGGCGTGAGCCCAGAGTTGCTTTACTATTAGACACACACATATGACCTCAGTAAAATGATTGTAGCAAGTGCTATGTTTATATTTTGATTCTCATGGGGATTGTTCTTCAGAAGTTTGTATTTTGTACACTGCATGGGGTCATTAAAGGACACTTGGGAGCCATGCTTGGCCTTATTTGAAAGCAACCTCTTTCCTACTAAATGAAGACAGGACCATGATAAACAAGAACACAACAGCAGAGTTTTGAGTTGTTTCAGTAACCAGTCCATGGGGGAGTATCTGATCAGAGAACTGTCTGTGGGCTGCCCCAGTCCCATGATGCTCAGGGACACTTGCTGCTTCATTAGCTGGGATCAGGTTACTCAAGGTTCAGGAAAAGAAAGAACTGCACACTCTCAAGCGAGGTGTTGGGACACTAACCCTCTAAACAAGCAAGGCAGAAGAGCAGCCCTGTAGTCGGACCACAGCCACGACCCTGTCCCCGGTTTTGCTTTGCTGTCAAGATTCTGAATTCCAGTGCCCCTAGGGAACGTGATAGGTGGAGACCTGCCCGACCAAAGATTGTCAGCATTTCCAAAATGAGCCTGCCCATCCCTATAGCATTTCCCAGGACTTGGATCTCACCTGTCTGTGCAGAGCTTCCAGAGTCGACAGAGATAGCCCTGAGAGGTCAAAGGCATGTCCACATGTAGCTTTTGGCCTCAAATGGCCTCCAAGAAAGTGTCATTTGCCATGTCACACCTGGTTGTGACCAGCTAAAGCTGGGTGAGCATTAGACTCTAACTTGAGCAGCTGCTAATGAATCCTTGGGGCATAGGATTATTCCAGATATTTTATACCCTATCTGCCCCCCAAATGTTCCAGTTCGCTATTCCTTCAACACGCTCACTGATCTGCTTCTAAAGCTTAGGACCTGCTACTTTAGGGCAGAACCCCTAATCACCCCAGCTTTAGAAACACCTGTCTAGGTTTTTCTTTGCTTCTCTGGTGACTTGATGACAGGCCTCTATCAGCACCTCACAGCCAGTGGGGAGAGGCTCTGCCTATTAAGAAATATCTACCCCTGCTATACCACCAGCCCGAGAGCAAAGATGCTAATGAGGCTCTGAAGTCCAGACCTGCTTTGTTTGGGAAAGAGCTTCAGAAATACATTCTAGTATCAAAGTAAGATAATGACGGGAAGCCCAGACCCCCCAGGGGGACTCTGCTCATCTCTGGACTACAGAGCCCACAATATAAGTTCCTGGAGGTGACAGAACACCAGGAGTATGGCTGCATCTGCATTTATTGTCCATTTAAGGATCTTAGAAAGTTTTTTTTTTTTTCCCCATTGAAAAAACAGTTCTAAATGAGCCACTCCTTTTTTCCTTTTGATGACGTGTATTTGGCCACAGGCTGCTTTGTGCTACCTACCTAACTCCTGCCAGGATACAACTCCGAATTCCCAAGCAAGGACCACAAATCTCAGATACCACTGACCTGCATCTTCCAGCAGAAACCATCTGGTGGCTGAAAAGAATTAAGGAAACCAAAGGTTGCTAGGGATTAGATAAACATTTAGGCTTCAGGAAAATTAGATATTTTTACAACATTATTTTTCATTTTGGAGGGGACAGGCATCCAGTAAGTTGCACCGTTGTCCAGTAAGTGCTGGTTACCTGATCTCTGCATATTTTGAATGTCATTCATGGGGGAGGTCCTGCCCCTGTCACTTAGGGCTGCCTGTTGAACATACTCTTCTTCCCTGCTGATGGGGGTGTGGGATATAGGTTAACTCTAAGAAACAAGATGATGTGTTGGTTCTTGGTAGAGTGTGCCAATTCCAGCAACATGTGCCCATCCCACAGCCCACAAAGAGTTCTTCTGCTGGATAGAAGCAGCCATTTGGTTGAAAAGCTCTAGTCTAGTGCACAATTAATGCAAATACTTGATTGCATTAATGCAGTACTACATCTGCTAAAAAGGCTACAACATGTCCCAAGTGTTTTAAAACTGTGCTCATTGTTTTGGAAATACATTTATTGCTTTTGATCTCTTGGGCCCAATTCCTGAGTCCTGTTTTACACTTGACCTCCTGGATCTTCTGTGTTGTTAATAATACATCAGCTCTTTTCCTAGAATCTTCAAAAGTGGAAGTAGCTGGGCAAGGGGCAAAAATACACTTCACCATCTTACCCCATGTGTCAAGCTTTATCTTCCAAATCCTTAGGTGTAAAGTGAAAGTATTAAGCCAAGTTGGTGTAAGGATGCTGTCAGAACTCTTTAGGAATACTAATTGGAGAAGATTCTTATTTCCACTTGCTGCACCAACTACATCTCACACATACACTCTAGGACATTTTAGGAGCCCTGGTAGTGATAGAAGTTGCTGATATGCATTTGATTAACAGAATGTACTATGTTTTGCAATAAAGATGTTTAGCCTTAAGACCTTTGAATGAAACTCCAGTTGTGATGGAGCTGCCAATGCCCCTTCCTCTCCTCTCTCCTACTGTTGCTTAAAGAGGAAGTCCATTGAGGGTACACTCTAACCCCTGGATACCCTCTCGTGTAAGTCATTGTTACTGCTCCATATACTGCCTTCTCACTTGCTTCAATAAGAATTACCTTCACCAGCTCCTCCTCAACCTTGCACCAGGAGGAGAATTCACTGTCTGTTTAGTATCAACTGCAGCCATCAGAGAAAGCTTCGTTTTCTCACCAAAGGTGGTGAAAAGTTTTGATGTCTTCTCCTGCCCCCACACTTCAAGAGAATCAATGTGAATTTACCTGAAGCTTAAATCAGTTTCAAATGAAACTTCATTCTCATACAAGCATATCAGACTTATTCTGGAACCTCTAAAACTGTACTTGTATACCCTGGAGGTGCCCCCTCTGCCTGCCATTCAACTTTTCGTAGACTCATTGTCTCTTTGTCGGTAATTTCTGAGTCATCCAGGGCATCCATTAGTTGTTCAATGACAAGTTCACAGATCTTGTATCAGGAGATGAACTCCTCGTATGTTAAGGATGCAACCCCTTACCCGAATGAATGTATTCTTAGTATTCAGACACTGTATTTATGTATCAGTTGGAGACTGTCCACATCCAACATTTCATTGCAAGGACATTTCTACTCATGAGCAGTTCATCATTCTGGGGCTTCTCCTTATATTAACGATCTTTCCATTTAGTCCTGCCAAATCCTTTTTTGGTATTTTTTTTCCTTTGCATCTGTCACTTTGTCCAAATGAGCATGAATAAGCAAGTGCAAATAAGCTGATACTATTTTTGTGGTCAGCTGAGGATGCTGCCAGGAACTCCACTGTATATCTGCAGCTTGGGAATGTTAAGAGGAACACACGGGCCCCTCCCTTGATGATATTCCCTTCAACATTTTTAAACAAGCACAAATGATATTTGTAAAAAAAAAAAAAAGTTTAATTTTATTTATTATGGTAATAAACTATTTTATACATGATGCTTGCTTTTGCCTTTCCTTATATAATAATAAATCATTGAGTTGGGTGTTCTGACCTAAGATGACAGAGCAAGGATGGTGTTTTCTATTCCAAGACTTGGGAAGCTCTAACTTGAATGACACCTATAATTGTGGTTTTTTGGAGAACTTAAAATTCTAGAGACACCAAGGTTGTGTCAAAGTGCTGCTTTGCCATATTGTCTTGAGGTAGAGCTGCATTCGCTTTATAAGTGTATAGAGATCACCTTTAAAATATGTGTCTTAACCTCTGTTGCTATAAAAAGAACTTATAATGAAATTTATAAAGATAAGAAATTAATTAAGGCTCACAGTTCTGGAGGATGGAAGGTTCTGGAAGTCCATGACAGGGTGGTCACATCTGGTGAGGGCCTCATACTGCTTTATAACATGCTGGAAATTGGAAGGGCAAGTTGGTATGGGCCACCAAGACAAGATGAGGCAGGCTTGATTTATGACAAAAACTAACCCAGTTCCACAATAAAGGTATTAATCTCTCTTAACAATCTAATCGCCTCTTGAAGGTTCTGCCTCCTAACTATGCCACACTGGTGTCAAATTTTAAGCCACAGCAATTTGGAACCACTGAAATTTGCGTGACATGTTAATTTAACACGCTGAAAGTTGAACTCCCACTGAGACGTTACCTTCCAAAATGGATGAAGAGTTTATAACTCAATCTTTCTAAATGACTCGGTGTCAATAATACAAGTTCTGGACCTTGCTCTACTTCATTGATAGCTTCAAAAGCTATTAAGATAGAAGACTTCTTCTATCTTAAGCTATTAAGATAGAAGAAGACTTCTTACTCAAAATTGGCCTACACACCAACACGATTTCAGTTCTGCTATAATTTTAATAGGTATCGTTTCTTGCTCATGGCAAGACTCCAC